GCAAGTCTGGCTTGCAGTTGGACAGGATTCATAACCTTTTATTGCCTCTTAATTTATCACAGGAGTAATAAAAGAGAGAAAAGCAAGGTCTTTTCCTTAAGGCAAACCCCATAATGGCACTAAAAGTGAGGGCAGAAAGAGAACCTTGGCGTGTTTTCACCTAGATGCCTTCCTGCCTAGAGCTATGACAGGAATCACCTGCTACTGCAGCTGAGTCCCAGTTGACAGATTAATCCCTTTTGCAGCCATAGACAATGCTGGACCAGTCAATGATGAGATTTCCTGGAGAAATCAGTAATGCTTTCTAGGAGTGAGGCAGAGCAACCTGCATAGTGTGACTTCCACATTCCCTTTGCAGTCATAGCCAAGGGTTCCCATTGTCAGGGCTTCACATCTTCACTTGCTTACCTGTGCCAGAAATCCCACGTCAATGGCAAGGTGCGGTGTTTCCGGCTGAGTGCTCCCTCTGACCCTTCTGCTGCTGCCAGTCTGCCTGGTGAGCCCAGCTGGGGTTTGGTTTGCAGCATCTGAAAAGCTATAGAAGAGATTTCTCACAAAGCATTTCTCCAGCCAAACCTGCAAACTAATGCCAACTGCTCGTAGCCTAATTCTGGCTGAGTAAGATGCTACCTACTGGGAGGAGGGAGACAGAAGGCTCTGATTTGCCAGTTAGTGTGTATTTGGGAGAAGCAAGCTAATCCTAGCTTGCTTCTGTTAAATACATGCCTTCAGTGCTTACCTTAAAAGAGGTGTTTGGGTTATGGCATCTGGGATGAGTGCAAAGTGGATTTAAGACCTGAATAACTGCTATGCATTCATAAACTAGATACCAAACTATAACATCCCTAAGACAGGGGCATTGCTAGGTCTGCACATTCTGCTTGAGGGAGAAAGGTACCTGCAATGGTAAGAGCAGGAGTGAGCTATGAGTTAAATGGGTAACTATGCACCAATTACCTGGTGCTCAACAACTAATGATCCAAGGCAGAAAACCTCAGTACTAATTGACATTAACTGATACTAACTTCTACATAAATCCTTTCTGGCTTCCTTAAGTCCTTTGGGAGAAGAGACAAAGGTCACAACTTTGACTTCCCCTAACGTACCTCAGTTACACTGCTGACACAGAGTATGCATTTACACTCAGCTCACAGCCTGCCGTCTGACCACCTGGGCCCGCTTGTCTGCTTCAGATCTAATAAAGGGAAGATGAGATGCAACATGCCTTTAGTAGAAGTATGATCCTGTATTGAAAGAGCATAAAGGCAGAGTGTGAGTTAGTGTCCATGAAAAACCCCTCTCTGAAGGTCAGGACCCATCTTAGTGCAGCCATCCCATGCAGGAGGCGGCTAAGGCACAGCATAGTGAACAGTCAGCACTCCTCTGCCATCAGTGCAGAGCTGCTACACCCTGAGAGGACTTCTCTTGCACTGTTTCTGTACTGAACTGGCCATTTTAACCAGGCAGAGCTCTATCAGTCAGTGTCTGCTTCTCCCAGTGAGGATGGAAGTGAACCCCTTCCCAATTTAGAGGTGGGACTTCCACAGCATGTGGAAAAGCACAGTCAGTAACAAACACTTTGACTGGCTCAGGGGAGGTGATTCCATCATGTTTGTCTAGGCAGATACTGCCATCCCACAGACCAGTGCTTCTTGCAGGACTCCAGAAATCTTTCCAATGGGATCTCTGCCAGGCTCACTGCCACTCATTATATAGCACAGTCAGGTGGACTCTGGCTTAGTCTTTTCAGACAGTCTCAGCACGAAATACCCAGCAGGGGCTTGCTTAGAACAATACTGAAACAGAGACTCTTAAACCAAAGCACCTGAGGTAAGTGGCTCACAGAACATTGATGTCAGTGTGGTTCCTGAGAGGGCCCATTCCCCCTGCCCAGCATGCTCTGATCTCTGCAGCACGAGTCTCTCTGTGCCATAATACCTTATTCTAGATGTGCACACTGGCCAAATAATCTCCTCGTGTCTTGACTGAGATTATTTCCCGTCTAGGCAGACAGCATGGGCTTTTCTCAGCATGGTTACATGCCATGACCTTCCCTCCTACACACGTTCTGCAGTGCTTGCTATGGCTTTTCCCTCTCCCCTCACACCTTTGCTGCTGGACAATCATTCCCTGTGTCACAGATGGACTGACCTGGTGCTGTCCCTGCTCACCTTCCCTTGCTATAGTCTGTATGCTCTTTAAGTGAATGTGGTCTATTTTTTTTCAGTAGGGAAAAGGACTTCCTTCTGCTGAAGGAATTATATTTGCACATGGCTCAGGGAGGTACCTCCTCTGGCCGTTTCTGTTACCTCACTCATTTAGGCCAATTCCATTGCTAACGTTCAATGGCCACCTTCCCCAACCCAAACTCCCAGAATAGTTAGGGAATAAAACCAACGTGCAGCTCAGGTTCTGGAGCCATTTGGTTGTATCTCAGTTTCAGCCCCAATCTGCCCCGGATTTGGGATTGCGCCTGTTACAAAATAGCATCTTTATCCTGAAAAGAGGTGGAGCCTGTGCCACCCACGCCTCTCTCCTCATCCTCACAAGCCCACCTCCATCACAACAGCACTTAATGGAGCAGATACAGCAGCACTAACCTGGCTTTCGGTCAGGGCAGAGGGAGGAGCAGCAGAACCATCGCAGCATTACAAGGAGCAGCATCGCGGGGCTATGGCACCTGGGGGATGTGACCGTGCTGGTGGCATCCTTCTCCCATCACATGCTCCAGGGGCTGGGTAAAGCTGCTAGAAACCTGGGAGTGTGTTCTCCCCGCCTGAGGCGCTGGATCCTGCAACCCCAACTACTGTGTGTAACTGCAACTTAACGGGGATCGCATCACGTCAGCACAGAACAAGGGGTACAATCACCCCTTATGGGGTTCCCCCTGAGCCCAGGAGGTGGGGGGCTGTTGGCCAAGGTCTGTAGCACTAAGGTGAACTCTGGGGTGGGGGGGAGGACCCTGCGGTTTTGTTTTAGGAGTTGTCTAACTGTCATAAACTTTGCGCTGTGCGCAAGAATGCAGTAAAACGATAATGAAACTTACCTGCTAGAACCTAGGAGTTGTAAAGGCTGTGCAGCCAAACCTTAATGTAAAGTAGCTAGTACAATGGAAGTACAGTATAAATTAAAACAAAATCTATCAAACAAACAGCACGACTCATGAGTGCTTTGTTCTTTTTATTATCCTGCCTATTCTAAAGTCTTTTCTGTTGTTTCCAAATACAGAGAGAGTCTTTTCAGACACCAACCAGGACCATCTCTTCCAGCACCACCACCCCTGAAAAATCCCTTTTGTTACTTTTTTGCTATGGGAACCTTGAGCAATATTTACACACCGTTTTCTCCTGCCTAGAACAACACAGGACAATATCTGTCTGCAGGAAGTGGAAAAGTGAAAGATGTGTCCAAGAAAAAGTATCTTAAGAAGATGCATGTAAGATACTAGAAGGTGTAGACTAGAGGACTGCCCTTTACCACCTGAGGTAGCTCTCACCAAGTTCTTATTTTACTCCTTTTTTGAGTTAGTATTATGACACCAGAGGGTTACCAGTGCTTCAGGGGGCTGAGAAGCAGAGCTAAAGTGGGAGAGAAGTTACACGGCCTTACCTAAAAATCACCGCGGGCGTCAATGCCATGGTCAGTGACAGATACTCTGGAGTTACCATCTGGCCACTCTGGTGCTGCGGGTTTAGAGTTAGGATTATGCCCAAAATGAAGACATGCAGCTGAACAAGGAGCTGCTTTTCACCCTTTAGGCTATTCGTTTGGAAGAAGCAAGTGTGCTTCCAGACTCCAAGTGTCTGGAATATGTGCTCGCGTTGCCAGACTCGGCTCTGGACTTGAGAGCGATCCTATGGCAGCGACTGCGCTGTGGTAGTTTACTAAAGGTAACACCCATTCTAAAAAAGGAATTTTGAAAGCCTGCCAGTTAGAAATCTGGCCCGGACCTGACTTACAAACAGAGTAATTTCTGTGATTTCAGCAACACACAAAAAGCAGCAGAACAAAGCAGGGGAAATTCCATACGTGGGAAGCATGCCTTGATTCACAAGCACTTGGTAACTATTTAGAAGCGGTCAGTGTAGCAGAATTTGGCAACTCTTGCAAGCAGTAGAGGCTCCATTGCAGCAGGGATGTAACAACATCTGCTATGTGCAAAAATAAACCTTCCCTGTTTGGTCTTAAGGTACAATTCCACCCTGGCCAGTGTTTTGGCCTTATTCCCTCTTTGTAATCCTAGTTGTTGAGTTTGAACAATTATATCTGAGGCCAGAAACATCCACTACAACTGAAAAGGTAGGTTTGCATGGGAAAGACTGAATATACAGTGTGATTCCCGTGCAGCAGTGGATCACTTACAATGAATGCCAACTACTTAAACCAGTGATTATCACAAGAAAGAAATACTATTAACTAGGAAAAAATAAGCGTTTGGTGTCCATTCCTCTAGGTGGTGCTGCACTATAGTATGAGGAGACTATCAGTTACTAACACCACTACCATTTTACAAAGCTTTCCTGTGAGGGCTATGCGTCCTACTGACTTTGCTTTGCCTACTTGCCTGTTGTTGCAGAACGTGGCTCCACAGGGTATTCCTATCACTCTGTGCACTTGAGGAGTAAACCTGCTATGCAAGGCAAAAGGAAGGAACTAAGACTTTTGATGCTTGCTAAATAAAAAGGGGGTTATACAGGGGATTCTTATACTTACGTTGTACTGCTTCCTGAAGTAGGGGTACTTCAGGTTCTATAGTCTCAGTTCCCTCCTTCAAGAGCAAGTGTGAACGGGGCACAGGGGGATTCATTCTAACACCATCACAGTCCTCATCCTAACTCTGTCTGTGTATGAGCAGCCCAAAGTCCAGAGCAACGTGCCAAGGAATAACTAGTTAATTAAATTATTCCTGTGTTAACACTGATAAGACTGCTTGGGCTGTAACACATGGTGGAACATCACCTAAGATGACCTCATTCCCAGTCTCATAGGTCAGAGTAACACAACATACATACCCTTTACCTCTGCAATGGAGAACTAGCGTAGTCAGCAAATAAAGGTGGTGGTGACAGCAGCTAAGAAATGACACTTAACATTTACAAAGCCATTAACGTGATGATAGAACAGAAACTTGGGAAGGAGCCGTGCTGCCCATACCCCTGTGCCCTTTTGCTCAGCATGCTTCAAAAGAAGAGTCCTTTAGCAAATGGGCTGGCAGCTCAGAATGGAGTCATGAGGCCAAAGTCAAGGCTGTACAGAGTCCAAGGCAAATGGAAGAGAATTTACACTTCCCCGTATCTCCTCCCGACGGCGCAGAGCTCCCCCTCAAACCTGGCTGGCATGATGCGGTCCTTCTGTCTTCAGAGCCCCTGCAATGGAGAGAATTCCTCCTGGAGCACGAGTCATTTGACCTTACAGAAGTGAGGATCGTGATACAGTCAGCATGGTAACTAGCAAGACAAGACTTTAAGAGATCTAGATTTTGGTCTTTTTCCACAAAATCCTTCCTAGCAGGTACTTCCATCGGAGATAGTGCCCTTATATGCCTCTGAGCACAGCTCTGTATCCACATGGGACAATGACTATTCCCAACTCAACAGGAATGGACAAAAGAGAAGTGATTACATCAGGGCTTGAAAGAAGACATGTGTGTTCAGGGTTAGAAGTAACACTAGTACACCCACCACCTTAGATACCTATATTGCTTCTGAAGTCACTATGGAAGCTCCACAGAAGGAGCACAGCCAAACTGCAGGCGTCTCCCATCCACCTTTCCTCCAGCCCCACACATGTCTAACCAGCTGTACTAAGGCTGAAAGGTTGACAGACACAAGCAGACTGTTCCTTATCACCTACCTTGGTGCCGTTCATTCCACTGACTCCTCTCTGCTATTCCTCCACAGGCACAGCACAGTTTTCCTTGTTTTCTGACGGAATCGCAAGATAGTCTGTCCTGTAGTTGGAGGGAAGGGGGAAAGCATAACCCCAGTGCTGCAGTGCAAACCACAGTGTGGGCCCATCCGCACTTACAAAGATACTGAATGCCTGTAAGTATCTCTAAGGTAACAAATGTCACCTGTAGGAGGTGCTCGCAGGAGGAAACTCCTTGGTACAATCAGGAGCACACACAGAGATCTCACACTTACGCATTTTCTTGGGCAGCTTCCTCCGCCTTGGAGACTTTCCTGTAGCAATAGACCATTTCTATCAGCAGCCACAAGGTGAGGAAAACCAGCAGAATATACATCATAATTTCAGAGATGACCGAGGTGAAGTCTTCTCCAGCTGTTAGGAAAACGAAATAATCTCTGATCAGTTACGTGCAGTGATTGGAGCACGACAGCTCCACTGACACTTCCCACCCTCACGCCATCCTTCCCAACCCACCTTAACAGAGATACCCAGCTGCCACTACACCATGGCAAATGAGAGGGAATGGGCAGGATCCTGCCAGCAGTGATCCCACTGCTTGTTTCCAGAGGAATGAAACACCCAGGCAAAGGCTGCACTGTGGCATCCTTATAACTTCCCACATTAACACACAACCACTCTGAGCCTACAGAGAGGCTGCAGCCAGCAAACAAACACAGGTGTCTCCTCCTGAACCCTGTGTAGTGTTTGTTGCTGCAAAGACAGATACGATTCTTTGGCAGCTCAGTCACCCCTCTCCTACAACATGATGGAAAGTTCTATCCCTGATGACAGCACCCACGGCGAGTTAAGGCACAACATGCTGCCAGCCCTTCGTACCCTCCTCCACCACGGTGAGGTGGATCAGTCTGGAGCTTGTGAAGAGAGGACGGTGAATCTCGAACTCAAACTCCCGGGTGATGTTACAGGTGTAGATACCCGAATCATTCAAGGTCACGTTTAACACAGTGATGGAGACATCCTGCATGTCTTTACTCCCGTTCCACTGCAACCGGCCACTGAAGCGGCTTGGAAATTCATGGTTGGTTTTCCTGTACTCGTAGATCTGTGGGGAAATGTGAAAGGGTATTTCTGATTAATCACTGACTCGTATCTCGGACAACAGCGCAGCATATGCAAGGAACATCACCACCCTCGAGCTACACACATGTACATTCCAGGCTAAGGCTTCCTTGGTAACAGCAGCTATTCATATTCCATCATCCTTTTCCTCAAAATCTTTACAGAAGACAGAAAACTGAATTATCTTCATCACAGAGGTATTAAAAATAAGACAGAGAAAAAGTCACACGTGGACAACGACGCAAAGATTAGCAATGGAACTAAAAACAAAGCAGTCTTCGTGCCAGCCTGTCAGTCACTGCACATTAAGATCATCTTAAGAAGGAACCATGGAATAAATACAGCAAAGACAAACAGACATTTTTGGTAAGCCCTGAGGTATTCAGCTGAAATGGAAGTGATGCAGGATAAAAATGACAGCATGGAAATGATGCATCAGAAGAATGGAGCTTTGGTGGCTCCAATCTCTTCCAAGTTTTGGGCTGACCACAGCCCCATCATTTCCCTGCCCACCCCAGCTCACTTTCATCAGCATTCCTCGGGTTGCCACTGGCAAATATATCACCCAGGTCACTGAAAGTGGATTCCCATCTCACTCCTTAGTGTGGTCACTTTAGCTCTCGGGCAGTAGGAATGTATCTGCCTTTTTGCCTGGCCCTGCTCAATCATGATGAAATGCAACCACTGATCTAATGCTCTGTACTCAGATAAAATAGCTTTCTCTGAGGCAAAAAAGTAAATTCTGTCCTGCAGATTTATCAGAGCCTGATTTAACCTCCAAAATATAGCTTTGGGATTCAGAAGTGTCCTAGGAAGGGAGATATAGCTAAGTGTACCAGGTGTCACTCCATACTTCTATTTCCCTTTTTGATTTCCTTACATACTAGGCTTCACCTAGTCAAGGGACAGAAGTGGAAATTCACATTCATATGTATGATCCCAAATATTCGAGCTCAACAGCAGATTCTAGCTTTTCCTGCCATAAGGAACCCCCTGGTGTCGCAACGCTGTGCCCAAGCGTGGAAATCAGCTAAGCGAGGAAAAGACACTTTAGTTACTGCTCAAAACCAGTGCTGTGGAAATTCAGGTGAAAATGCTGCAGAAATGGCAAAGATCCGCAGCTAAGAGCTGTTTTCCAAGCTTGTCTCTCATCTGTGATACGAAAGCAGCCTTGCTGGGCATTTCTATAGGCTTTTGCCTAGTAAAAGCTTTTGCTCTTATTTGGGTCTCCCTCCTCCTCTTATACAGGTGTCCTTGGGGATCCTACCACAGGACAAACTTACACTCTCATAAATACCTTTTGGCTGCTCCCACATGAGTTCCCTGGGCTGTGTTTCACAGCAAGACCTACAATACAAGGGCTCAGCTACCAGGCATACATACAGGTTCATCCTTTCCACCCTCCGGCCTGTAGAACCATTCCACCACCGTACTGGCTGTGACCTCTTCCCTCTTCATGCAGGAGATGCAGAGCAGCTTCATGTGTGTTCCTTGGACTGCCTCTGTCTCTGATGGAACTTCGACACATACTGCAGAACAAAAACCCGCTAGGGAGAAGGAGCAGCAGAGAAGAAGTGTAAGATGGAGTTAGAGAGACATCAGTTATCCACATCTCAGCACCCCATCATCCCCAACAGCAAACTGATTCATTACTATCTCTGTCTGACAACAGCTAAGCCTCAAATGACAATTTTTACCAACCTTCCTTCTCCCAGATATAAATAATTCATATTAATTAACAGAGAGTGATCACTTCACACAGATTCAATCCTCCAGCATCTGCTTTGCCACAACTTTAATCCTTCCCATAGTAATTAATGCCACTTTGGAGGCATTGTTGCTTCTCTCCATGCATGCTGAGCATGCTCCCGCTCCAGCAGCAATTACAGTCTGGCAGGAGAGAAAGCCCAGAATTCAAGTGTGGAGGGACAGCTCGCTCATTGTGCTAAGTGAAACGGGCTGGATGTTTTCATCTGGCAACGTGGAAGCATTCTAGGTTTCATAAGCAGTACAGGGAATTGAGGGGCTTGGACCCAAGTAAGTGTGGCAGCAGGAGGAGTTACTGATTTTACACTTAAATGCTTCCAAATAGATCTGTGCTCACACTGGCAACTGTAACACACTGCTCATACAAGACAAAAATCATTGTCTGTGGAGCTAGTTGATAAGAAAAGGAACGCTTCAGCACCACATCTCAGACTAAATCCCTGCTGACAGTTGTCCCCTGGGCTAAACAATACTGGGTTCTGCTGTCCAATCCTGCCTCCGGAGCCCGGAGTTCAGCTCACTGAAGGTGCTGACTTCGCTGCCTGCTCCCCCCTCCCCAGCCCTGAGATACCATTAACCCTCTCCTGAGCACTGCATTATCCCAGGACATAGCAGGATTCCAAATCTCCTGGACTACCAGCTCTGTGGGTAGCACCAGCTTTCTAGGAGAACTAAGGAAGCAGCTCCTGGATCGTGCTTTGCTCTGGTTAAATTAGCTCTGCACACAGAGCTAAGCACCCACACATGGAGCTGTAGGTTACGTGCACATGAGATGTGGCTGTACTGGCAAAACCAACCTTCTCCTGCTTGCAGAACAACTGTGATTGCAATAAACTGATTTACTCCAGCTCACACTGCATGGGAAAAGAGCGCTGCCCAACAGTTTGCACACCCCGAGGTAACCGAACATTAAATTACATTGCAAATTTCACAACAGCAGCAGAAAGGCAACGGGAAACAACTTGCATGCATATTAAAGCACACGCTTCATGCCCCGTGTCTTCTAAGCAGTAATGCATTTTCTTTGCTCACACTAACTCCATTACATTCATACCAACTCTGCATGAATATCGCTTCCTTCTCTTGTAAACGCAAAAAAGCCACTTCGAAGGCTGGCGTTGATAAGGGATAAGGGAACCCTGCTGGGAGAAGCGGCACCCTACAAGAGACAA